TCTGTATAAATCTTAATAAGTTGTCTTCAAGCATCGTTGTATAAGCATGGACATTCTTGCAGAAAAGGGCCGGGTGTACTTCCGCAACTTGTAGATTGCTCTCAAAGTCCTCCGGTGAGAAATGGAGGTTCTGGTATTGAGCAGGTTGCTTAAGGAGAGTGACTTTTGCGATGACCGCTTCCATTTGGGCCCGTATGTGCAGTGGAATAAGTCCAGCCAGCACTGTGGCTGCTGCAGTCGCTGTGGTCCTGTAGGCCCTCGTGATGGCCAAAACAAATGGGCGTTGAACGCTGTTCAAAATTTGTTGCTTCCTTGTAGTCATTGGAAGTGCCCATATGGCCGCTCCATAGATAAGTATTTTTTCTACCACTGTGCTGTATATTATCTTTAGGATGTGGGGCCGGAGCCCCCAGTCTGAGCCTTGCATGCCCTTTATTCGGGAGGCTATTCTATGAGCTTTAATGCGTTGAGCTCGCAAATGAGGGAGCCAGGAGAGTTTTTCATCGATTAATAAGCCGAGAAGCTTTAGTTCTTTCACTCGTTTTACTCTCTTTTGTCTAAGGTTAATACATGGATTGCGAAGGAGTGTCTGGCCAGGTTTATGGAATATTATATATTTCGACTTGAGCTCCGAGATTCGTAGCTTCTTTTGGTTGCAGAGCATGTCAAACTGCGAGAGATAACGTCATTGCAGCGGGCTTCGAGAACGTGCCTGCTGTGTCCTCTGACGATGAATGTAGCATCATCTGCAAATGCAAATGCCTTCGCTCCTTCCGGCCACTGAGTGCACAAGATCGAATTGAAAGTCACGTTCCATAGGACAGGACCAGCGCATGATCCCTGTGGACAGCCCCTGGTCTGTTGTCTGGTAATGATTCCTCCGTCGTGCACAACTATGAATTTTCTGTTGCTGAGGTAACTTTTAAAAAACTGTAAAAGATTGTTTGGAATATCAGCTGTGTGCAGGGCTTCGAGCACAGCAGGCCACCACAGGGAATCAAATGCACTTTGGAGATCTAAACTTAGTACTGCTACGTGTTGATTGTTACTGCGAGCTTCCGTGATTTCTTTCTGAAGAAGATCAAGGGCATGGACCGTTGATATGCTTTCCCTGAAACCGAATTGTAGCTGCGACAAGAATTTTTTCCGGGTGAGGTGATGCTTTAGTCTGGTGACTGCAAGTTTTTCTAAAACCTTCCCTATTGCCGACAACAAGCATATCGGGCGGAAGGAGGTAGGGTCATTCGGATGCTTCTCAGGTTTGGCAAAGAGGACTACTTGCCCCGTTTTGAATGCCACTGGGAAAATACCTGTGCTCCAGCAATTTGTTGAAATACTTGCAAAGGAATCCGGGTTTTGCCTTGTGTACAGCTTTGACTATGCTGTAATCAAGCGAGTCAGTCCGGGCCTGGTGCTTTTCGCTTGGGCAGAATACGCATGATAGCGTTGACTTCCGGATCCTGAAAGGGAGGATCGTCAGTTGCCGTCGTGAAGAGCTGGTATGCCAGGTGAGAATTTTCTGTGAATTCCTCCTGACTGTCGTTGGGAAAGACTGCATCCAGGATTTTGGAGAGTACTGCCTCCTTTGTAGTCTCTTGCTCGGGTGGTGAACTGTCAAAAAGGCGAAGCTGTGGCGGTTTAAAGACACTACCTCGTGCTATTTTGAATAGCGCACCATAAATATCGGTGTTATTAGTGCAAAAGTTTCTCCAACACGCAAGCTTTGCATTAAGAATTGCTCTTTTATATTCCGCTTGCGCCTTTCGGTATGAGATGCTGAGTGCCAGCCTAGCTTCCTGGTCGTATTCTGCTTTCATGCGCCTTCTCATTGCGCGTGTTTTACTGCGCTGCGCTCGGAGATCTTTCGTCCACCAGTTCGGCATATGCAGCGTTTTCCGTGTCTTCAGGGAAAAAGTACTGTTGCAGATGTCCTGTATTGTGGAGATCAGAGAGCTGGTGAACGACTCCAGGTCCTGGGATGTAGTGCATGCTGTGAGATCTTCCTCTGCGCTTCTAAGGGAAAAACGAACTTTGTTTATGAATTGTGCAGTCTTTCGCTTTGTAAGCTTATAGCGCTTGAGGGTCATTCTCGTATGTGGATGGCAAATATTGTAAGTAATATACAAATGATCAGAGTTGGATGGTAAGTCTTGCACCGTCCATTGTTGGATAAATGGGGCCAATGAAGCTGAGGTCAAGGTTAGATCAGGCCAACCCCTACCATGAACCGTTTCATACGTTGGAGGACTGTCTTCAGTGTTGTGCAAAGTTAAATCATTGCTGGCCATGAAATCTTCTATGGTTCTACCTCTTGCGTCTGTGCTTGGGTAGTACCAAACTTTCGAGTGCGCATTAAAGTCACCTGCAAGCAGATGTGACGCACTGGGATATTGTACAAGAGTTCTCTGATTTAGTTCCAAGGAGTGTGTCATGTCTTCAGATGGTGAAAGGTAAACATCCGTGATAAGCACATTGAAGTCTCTACAGCTATAGTTATTACATCGCGTGAGGCTAGAACGATGGTGGGAGACCATTTCTGTTGGCAGCATATTATTGCCGTTCGCGGGCCTTCGGCAGTATTGCCCTGAAATACAGTCCACGAGAGAGGAAAATCGGACACTCTGTTGTCGTAAAGGTAAGGTTCCTGGGCTAAGATGAAGTCTGTTTCCGTTTCCATGGCGTACTGAATGACTTGCGCGGTTGCTGCTCTAGCTCTTTGCAGGTTAATCTGAACTATTTTTAGTGCACTTTGGTCAATGTGTCGTATGTTGAAATCAGTCATTGGATCTGCTCGTGTAGGGAAATGACCAACAGACGTGTCTTGCGTCTGGGCGTTGACATTATTGTCTGTGTTAATATTCCGTGGCATCTCTGACTCGTTTTGCTGTTCTCTGATACTCAGGACAGGCATGGTGGTAAGCTGGGTGCCTGGTATCGTACTGCATTCCGTGCTTATGATTTGCGTCCCCACAATTGATGCATGCTGGTTTTCGTGCGTGACAGTCTCGCACGTGGTGTGGACCTGCACAGTACGCGCAGTACTGGTATTTGCAAGGACACGAGACTTGTAGGTGGCCAAGCTGTTGACATTTAAAGCAGCGCTTGATCCCGAGATATTCGCGGATGGTGTGTGCATGCCATCCTGTGTATAAATGTCTGATTCGGAGAGCTGCTGCGAAGCTATGCGGGTCACATTCAAAGACCCATTTGACGTTCTTTTCCTTGCGTTCCTTGAGCTTGAAGAGCGGTCTAAAGGTGTTTCTTGGGGCTGCCGTGGCTGTACTGAGTTCATCCACGAGTTCCTCTGGCTTCGTGTCCTCTGCAACATTGTGTACTGTACAAACGTGGCTTTCGTCTTGCAGGGTGTTGAAAGTCTGCCGGAATTTCTTCCGCTCTTTGTAATTGTGCCTCCAGGAGTGTGAGGTCATCCGAGGATTTGCAAAGAACACCTCGAAGCCGCCCTTTTTTGTGCACTACAATCTTTTCCACAGCCACTGGAAGTTTAGAAATCGGCGCCTTTGCGCGTAATTCTTCTCTTAGCTCAATGTGTGAAATGTTCTTCTTTGGCGCAATCAGCAAGCTGGGCTGTTTGGTCTGTCTTAATGAGGGACTTCTTTGTTTGTTTGAGGATTTCAGCAAAGGTAGGATGAGGAGGAGAAATATGAGATGCTTCTTGCAGTGTGTCTGAGTTGACAGCAATTTCTGCGTTCTTAGTAACCACGTGATCCGTATTGGTTGAGGCTTCCTTGATCTGTGGTGATACCCTACAGAAGGGACCTTCTAGTGCCGAAGACTTAAGGGCCTGCAGTGTTTCCAGTAAGCTACTCCGTATGTAAAAGGGAAGCAGAGGTTTCCCTCCTCCTTTTTACTTGCGCTATACGAGTGCACTCTGCGTGCAATGTTTCAATCTTTTCTTCGTGAGACACAACACTGGAATTTACTAGAGAATTGAGGTTGGATGTATTTAGAACTGCAGAGGTATCTGTATTAATCATTGTCAGCCGAATTTACACTAAATCACTGAAAAGTAGCACTGCGAAGATCTGTGTTACTGTCACTAGATCAGAGTTCGTCAATAGGCCACTAATTCGCTAGGTCATTAATCACTTATTTTCACCAGGTAATGAGTCCTTACGCTGATTCACAGTTCCGAGTGGTACATGTGCAAGGTAGGAGAGTGTTAAGTAAAGGCACAAATCACAGAGTGTCACACGAAATTACTAAATATAACACATATGTATACTAAAATATAGCACAAATACTACAATATATACACTATAATAATACACACCCACAGCAAATACTATAATGTATTACTATTATTATAAACCAAATATTACAATGCGTGTACAGAGGTTACATATAGATGTATATTATTATATATCTATACTAAACACCATAGCACTAATACACACTATACATATTATTATAATACTAGTATAAACCAAAAAATAGCAGCTTGTAGTAGTTATTATTTTAATATGAAGTTTCTTTTAAGTTAAGTTAGTATGCCTTTCTTACATTATATATATATGTATTGACAACTGAATTTAAATTGCAAAATTTAAGTGTCTACTGAATATTCCCCGGTTCAAATTAAAGATAAGAAAAAAAAAAAAAAAGAGAGAGAGAGAGAGAACTAGCGTTGTTATGTTTAGCGAAATATAAGGGAATCAGTTATAGCTAATTAAAGCTTGTCTAATTAATTAGGATGAATGCAGTTACTAACTCTTTAAAATTTACAGTGCGTCAACTCGACGCCAACACACTACTCATCCCATGGGTGGTAACTGAAATCACAGAACTAAACTAAAACTTCGATGATATTCACAAGCAGTAGAACTAAGCTACAGGGCTCAGATATTCCTGTTTCTTAAACCCGCGTCGAAAATAGTGGCAGCAAGTAAATGCAATTAAGCCACGTAAACCAGCAATAACTCCGGGAGTACAAGCTCACGCAACGGAGGCAACGGCAATAGCCTAACTCTCTCTAACTTTCCTACTGAGTCTCGGTTTTTAAACTCTTTCTTCACAAGGTATAATTTGCATTCTTTCACGCTCGGCACCAAATTTAAATATTGTGGCATTATCAATTAGCGGAAACAAAGCTTATATGAAATTTTAAAATTAAACTTTAACTTGTTAGTTAAAATAAATATAAACCCTTACAAAGTGGAATTAAATAACCCTGTGGACATTCACAGAAATAATGCTGAAATTCCTTATATCCCGAAGAGAATTCGGTAAAATAATATTCTGAATAAAAAAAATTACATGCATCTATTTATGTGCATAGTTATAGAGAGGAGGGTTACTTTTGAGACAACTTCTAGTGAAAGTTCTAATATACATTCGTATGAATAAAATTCATAGAACCAAACTGTAATTTCATTGTTCATATACAATGAAACGCGTGCATAATTTTAAGAACTTTTTTATGGTCTGCTGTTTGGGCCGTCTTAATGTCGTTGAATAAGTACTACCATTGAGAGATTCTGAAAAATATTTCACAACTTAGGCTGAAGCATAACTAAGCGTACTAAATATAGGCATTGCTATATTTTTCACAGCAGGAGGAACAAATAATTAGACGTGCTCTTGCACTTAGACCTTCCAATTTCCAGTTCGACAACTGGACACTATGATAGCACACATAAGATAATGTTAAATTTATTACATATTTCCAAATAACAAGCAACAATTTCAGAAAATCATACCAGTAATCAAACAGTAAGATTTTATATAATAGAATTAATGTAAAACGTGTAAAGGCAAAACGAGTTTATTTTCCATCAAAGTGCATGTCTGTTACGTACAAAGAGTACAAAAGGTGAATACTTGCATTATTTGAAACATTCTTGGCAAATGAAAGTATATGTTTTCAACAAAATAAAGGCCAGAAGGACATTTGGGGACACAGTGAATGTTCTAAAACAGTACATTTCGACTTTTCTTCTGAAGTTTTTAAAAAATATTCAAACCATTATATTCACACAAATTCATTTTACTTGCCTAAAACTTTAAGACTACTTGCATTATTTGAAATATTTTTGGCAAATGAAAGTATATGCTTATGGCAAATAAAGTCCAGCAGTTAATTTCAACTTTTCTTCGACAGTGTATAAAATATTCAAAACATTATATTCACACAAATTCATTTTACTTGCCTAAGTTTAATTACTTAGATTTAAGAGAATAGCGCCCTTAGAGCAATATACAACTAGTAACTGGAGAGTGCTGAAAACAAGTTAGGGATACGCAAGTATGCATGTAAGTTCATGTATAAATGCATATACATATTCATGTTATTTGTAATATATGCATACCTCACGCAAAATATCTAAACAGTCATAGAAACGTACAGTCAGTTACTGCTTAGATATATTAACTAGAATTAATTGATTTAATAACAAAAATCTCAAAGTATCTGAAAAATATAAAAAATGTTAACAATAAACATTTCGCTTAAAACATAATAAAGAATTTGTTCGCTGCAAAGCAAAAGCGAAAAGCAGGAATAAAAAATTAACTTAAAAGATTTGTTAAAAACTTCTAAAGATAATACAAAATTTTAAGAAATTTTGGCTCATCTTAGATTAAAAATTATCTATCCAAACAGCTTTTGAAAGCAAGCTTTTAAATGCGTCAGTTGAAAAAAAAGAGTTTAACGTGGTATCAGGAAATTAAAACTTAAAAATCATTTGCTTCGAAGAAGAAAAATCCATCGAAGCGATACCTTTTCAAAGAAGTGGTACTGGAGACTCAGATTACCGTTAAATATTGCAATTGTCAAAGCAGTTAAGAAGTACCTTATTTTTAAATTATAAGTAAAGGAGACAGGATATTTAATTTTTCGTAGTTTGAATTATTTAAAAATATAAATGAGTGCTATAAAATAAAGTGTGCTTTCAGGCGCATTTAACAAGAAATGTGCATGAGGGCATCACATTTTGAATTGTGGTGAAAATGATGGGTGAAAAGCGTGATTACTAGCTTAATGGAAAAATATTAAGCGTCTGCATGTGAGAAGAAAGAATATGAATATACTGCTCGTATATGGCTTTAAAATGGAAAATAAATTCCTTACAGCACCTGGCAAAACAACTTCAAACTGGAATAGGTATGAATGCTGTTTACATTTTGAGATATATTAGTAGACATATAGAAAACAATCAAGTTTATTGTTAGTTGAAACAGAACTTTGAATATTCTGTAATATTTTACTAAATTATTATTTTTATTAGCTGTAGTTTACTGCAGATCTTCACCCTACTTCCGACCAAAACAACATTTGTTTCTAGCTGGTTAAGTAAAATGTAAGATTACACAGAAGAGAGGCATTAAGCTTATCACCTATGTTACTTATTTAGATCATTTTGAGGAAAAAAAATTGCAAGCCATAAAAGTAGCTTTCTTGGCTAACAGTTAAAGG